GTTTATCAGCATGATTTACCGGAACAGAAGGAGAAATAGAAATTGTAGTAGCACCACCGATATTAGCAACGCCAATAGTATTTTGTTCAGCAACCATCTTTAATCGGAATCTGTTTTAAGATTGTAGGGAATTTTAACGGGAAATTAAAAATAAGATGGCTTAAATATATAATACCGAGGCCTGTGCGAACACAGTGTCCTTAAAACAGATTCGTCCCGTATGAGCGTCTGTTTCCCAGGATACAACGAAAAAACCGAAACTAATTCGGCGAACTGGAATTATGCCTGGACCAAAATACTTAAAAAAAGAAATGAGGAATAAGCTTTTGGAAATAATCTTTTCTTTCTTGGGTTTTTGTGTGTTCGTAAACATTAACCAAAGCTTATATTTATATGGCCTTGAGGATGAATGTGCAACCAAAGCACTAACTCCCAAAATTTAAAGAACCATTTATGACATAACATCTTCCAACATTAAAGAATAAGTTACAAATTAAATTTCCAAGATAAATTTTAATGTTATGTTTTGTTTCATTCAATTTTTCCAACAGAAAATCCATTTGATTTGCACGCAGAGCCTGTATAATCTCTCACTCATGGCGGGTGGTTATCGTGAGGAGCGCCTTCAACTGCACACCGTTCTCAGATCCTCCGTCGTCGAAGCATTCCTAACCAAATACACCTGCAAAAAGATCCACCCCCCCAAAAAAAATTAAAAAATTACACGCAATGTCGCATTTTACACGAAGATAGAAAAAATAGAAATGTAGGGCTCTGGTCTTCGCGACCACAAACCCTAGCCGCTGGAAAGTAGACTCCGGGTGTTAGCGACTTCATCGTACGTGAGTTGCAGGGGCGCTCATTGGTCTCCATTATCGGGCCACACCAGACCCTATCCGTCATCGTTCGCTGCGTCCGTGACCCTGACGCCGCCTCCGCACGCCGACAACCTCTGCCCCTTTTGTCTTTAAGGCTAGGAAGAAGAGAAAAGTTGTACAAAATTCTGATCGGGCAGGAGGATGAGAGAGAGATTCAAGGGAGATCGGATTTTTTTTGTCAAAGATACGAAAGATTTGGTAGATTTTGTGAGATTCGGGTGGAAAACGTCTATGGCACACTATTGTGCGGAAATTCCGTGTAAAGAAGACAGAGGCAACAAAACACGCCAAATTACATATCATACCAGTGGCACATCAGTAAAAAGACCTAAAGTTGAAGGTCTTTTTTGTCCGAAAATGACACGTTTAAGACCCAGAACAACCCCTTGTTGTTGCCTTATATGTATAGTAAAGATATACATGTATGGAGGTTAAATGAAAATTTTTAGACATGTTTTTCTTACGTATAGTTTAGAAAACATTAGGTAGCTTCAAACATTATTTGTGAATAATATAGAATATTTTAGATGCTTTTATAGATGTTATAAAATATTTTAAGTATTTTTAATATTTATATATCACACTTAGAAAGAATATTTTTCCCAAAAAAAAAAATATTAAATACACATTGTAAATGTTAATAGAAACAGTCTTGTTCGTCTTTGATCTCAATTACATATAAAATTTCTTTTTAATTGTCATATAGTTTTTGGTGTGCGTTAATCTCGATTCGTATTTGTAAAGTTGATAGCTTTTGTATTAATTTCAATTTGTATTTGTAAAATTGATAAATTGTTAAGCGTATAAATTCCTTTTTATGGTAACAACTTAAAAAAAATGATAGTAATTTTTGAAATATTGTGTAGTCAAATCTTCATATGGAAGTAA